AAAAAAAAAAAGACTTGGGGGCTTAAGACCTGGCACAAGAACTATGTTAAATCTACAGGGGGCACCGGTTATGTTGTCAGGGATCATGATGACACCCACAGAACACTCTGTGCCATCCTCCAGCTGAAGGCATATGGAGGATAAATGGTATAGTGGCTTGGGTCTGAATGGGGCAGCTGAAAAGCAGAGATCCCACCCGGCCCCTTCCCTCTCCTTACACTTTTGGTGTTGCCAGAAGGTACAGGTTCAAGTTGTTAGCAGGGGCCTGGGTAAACCACTAATCTTGTCTACTTTATTAGTTTCTGTGATGTAAAACAAGGTAAGGACAATACCTCCCATTTCCTGGGCTAATACATCCTTCTTCCTGGGCTTTTTTGGGGATCAAGAGAAAAGGAAGGTATAGAACAGGGGTGGCCTTGGGCAAGCTGCTTCCCTTCCCTGTGCCTGTTTCCTCAGGTGCACTGTGACTGTCTTTCCTGTGGGATATTTGGGACAACTGGGGACTAAGTCTGCATGAAGGGCGTGCAGGATGAGGGTGGGGACAGAGCTGGGGTGGAGTAATCTCCTGCCAGCCACAGGGGCTACATGCAGTCAGTGTGGGGCAGGCTGAGGGGCTTCCTCGCTGGGGTCCCCAAGAATTGGCCAGTCTGTCTCCCTATGCCCAAGGGCGGGACTTAGGAAGGCAGGTGTGGGATGAAGAGATCACTGTTTGTCACCTGAAGGGTACTACTTTTTCTGGGGTGGGGCTGGGTCTTCCCTAAAGCTGCCCTTTTTATCCTCTAAACTCCATACTTGGGCCCAGATATGGTTTCCTAGAAAGTAGGGATGCTTCCCAGTCTCCTAGATTCTGGAAGCAGATGGATGACATGGGTTTTGAGATCTTTTCTGGGGTCAGATGACCTCAGGAAATGTACAGACAGCCACTCCCTTCAACCTATGATTCGTTGCAGGGGGAAGGTGTGGGAGGGATGGGTTGCACAGGAGGGGAAACTTGGCCTCTGGATAATATAAACAAAACAGCTTCCGTTTATAGAGCCGCTGCAGTAGGTGAGGCACTGGGGCAAGCTGCTCTTATCATTACTTCATTTGATGCCCACAAGGTAAAGCATCATTAATACCAGTATGCAAAGGAGACTGAGGCTCATGGGGGGGGAAGTAGTGTTCAAGGTCAGCGCTGGGAGGTGCTGGAGGAGGGTCTTCTGGGCTTCCTACCCTAAGATGCCTGCATTCACCCACAGGGAGAGGGAGCTGCCCCTCCTTCTTCCCCCCAGGGCCAAGCAGAGGTCTCTCTCCAGCATGTGATCTCAGTGAGAGCCTCAGGTACCCACAGAGGTTTCCTGAATAATTCATTCTTCTTGGCCTCTCAGGGAAATGTAAGGTTAAAAAAAAAAAAGCCCCCAGCCCCTCAGCTGTCTTTCCTTCTCATTTCCCCACATGCTTACCTTCCTCTCTCCCTTCTTTCTGTGCTCCACATGTGTGGGCTTCCTGGAGTGCAGATGCCTGGGCAGAGGCAGGCAGGTGTCTGGGTGCCTCGCCTCTCTCTGTCTGCCTCCGATGTGGCTCCCCAGGTCCCAGCTGGGTGACCCTGGGCAGGCTAGGGTCACCTAGCTAACTGCCCTAGACCTGTTTCTTCATCCCTTAACTGACAGCACTCATGCCTCACAGAGTTCCTATCATATATAGATTATGCACTAAGTACTGTCTTTTCATCGTTATGTAATTGTGCGTATATAGATTATGTGTTCTTACTGTTGTTATTAACTTCCTAATATGTGCCAGGCAGTCTGGTACCTTGTTTTACCTTCATATCCACCTTCAGAGGTAGATAGCTGATCTTTATTTCACAGGTAAGAATACTTAGGTATAGAGCTGGTAGAATTGAATCCAAATCCAAATCCTACATATGTTGTACCCCAAATGCATCTGCTCTAGGCAGCATCCTAGACACCAGGGGGCCCTCTGATCAGCCCTGTGAGCCACTGGGCCAATGAAAAGCTCTGCCCTCCCTCTTCTCCCCTCCCAGCTTTGTAAGTACTAGTGGGCCTGCAGCCTCTGTTCTCTCTGGCAGGAGGGGCTGCTCCACTGTGGCACTCCCCCAACCCCTAGCTTTAGCTCTCCCATGTGTGCAAGCCTGCATATGCTGCCATCACTAACTGGAGCCAGAGAGACCTGGATTCTAACTTTACCTGATGCTTTGTGATCTTAGGTAAGTTACCTCACCTCTGTGAACCTCAGTTTCCTTCTTATAATTTTTTTGTTTTTTTGAGACCTAGTCTCACTCTGTCACTCTGAGTAGAGTGCTGTGGCATCATCACAGTAAACAGAAATCACAAACTCATGGACTTAAGTGATCCTCCTGCCTTAGCCTCCCCCAAAGCTGGGACTATAGGCACCTGCCACAGTGCTTGGCTCGTTTTTCTATTTTTGGTAGAGATGGGCTGTCGCTCTTGCTCAGGCTAGTCTTAAACTCCTGAGTTCAAGTAATTCACCTGCCTTGGCCTCCCACAGTGCTCGGATTTCAGGCATGAGCCACCACACCCGGCCTATAGAAAGTAATTAATTTTTTTGAGGCAAGGTGTTGTTCTGTTGCCCAGGCTGGAATGAAGTGGTATGATTACAGCTCTCTGTAACCTTGAACTCCTGGCCTCAGGCAATCCTCTGGCCTCTACCTCCCTAGTTAAAACTATAGGAATGGACCATCATGCCTAGCTAATTTTTTTTGTCAAGATGGGGTCTTCCCATGTTGCTCAAGCTAGTCTGAAACTCCTAGACTTAAGCAATCCTCCTGCCTCAGTCACCCAAAGAACTGAGAGATTATAGGTGTGAACCACTGCACCTGGCCATCATCAGCTGGTAAAATGGGGTCCCTGTGGTTGCTGGGAGTTTGGAAAGGGAATCATGTGCTCACATCATGCTTGACACACAGTGAGTGTTTAATAGATGACAGCAATCCTGAAGACATGTCTATCTGTGTGAGTCAGGAGCATGCGTGTATAAACGTGTATTTGTGTGTGAATGTGTATAAGTGTCTATGACAAAGGCCAGCTTATATATCTAGGCCTCTATGATTTGTTATTTTTTTTTTTTT